TTTAGAAAATACTGCTAAAGCCTCTGGGTCAGTTTACCTCTTTGGCAATGCCCTCATAATTTTTTCATAACCGATTCATAAACAAATGATTTCATACGCATGAACTTAACCCAATGCATAGTTATTGCCAAAATTCTTTATGCCCTGGCAGATTTAGTTTCCATGTTATTTTTTCAATTAACGCTTTGAGGCAACACAGCCAGAGTCCAGATCTGAATCTAATAGTCTATCGAAGAAAACTGAGAGATAAGGATGAGGGCAAGGAGACCATCCAACCTCAGTAATGTGGAGTTCAGAAATCAAAATGGTAGTAGAAACATGCAGAAAAGCTTCTCAGCGAAATGTACGTATTTTTGTTACAATGCGTGCATTAAAAAAAGTGCCAGTTTCTTTTTATGGGGCTAATTTTGAATTTAAGCATACTACAATGTAGCGGACAGATAAGCTTGAGGTTTACAGGTCAAAAGCTAGAGGTTAGTAAATCTAAATCTGCGATATGCAACACCGAGTACATTTCACACATCCTGATGTGTAAAATGTTCAACAGTCAAAACATCTTTAATTATTAGCTATGGGTCAAGTCTATCAATTTAATTGTAAAATTTTATTTAAAAAATGCCCTATCCTCCTTTAATATCTTGGTCATCTTTTCTCTGGTGTACCTGCATGCGTTGCCATGATAATTTCTACAAGATGACTGAGGAGCACTTTTTTGTGACTTCATAGCAAACATCCCATTACTATTCATTTCAGTTCTGATCCCAGTCTGGGCCTCTTAGCTCTTGTAAAATATGTGAAATGAAATGATGACTCTTCATCGAACCCAAATTGTCTTAACCCCATCAGCAATCTGCTGGTAAATATTACTAGTTGTTGTCTCATTATCCCCTTTTCTTACAGAAAACTGTGGTAAATATACTTGCTGTAGTACTAAACTTCTATAAACAATATCTGTTTTACATATTTGTTAAAACTGTCACTCTATCTCGACTGTATAACATGAAACAGATAATCTGCAAAAAAAAATAAAAAAAATTGAGCTCCTTCTACCATTAGTCCTACTGCTATTTGCAGAAATACACCACTCTGTCAGAAGCAACCATTCAGTGCCAGGTGGAGGGTCTTAGCATTGTCAGCCATACTTTTGTATAGGCTGCTTAGTGTGTTAATGGAAGATACTGTAACATACTGTTCCCTGTAACATACTGTTACAGGGAAACTGTTCATATGTAGTAATCGATGACCATGCCAACTAGCCTTAGCATTCACAGATAGGTAGCATGATCTGATGTAGTTGATGTGTAAGTCGTAGCTTAACAGAGCAAGGGGAGCATGTGAGTTGTGTGTATAGAAGCTTTATTGATACTGCTTAGACTCTCCTCTTGCCTCTGATTGGTTGTTTCTGACAACCAGTCAGCAGTGTGTTTCTGCAGATGGCTATAGGACCACAGTAAATAGGCGGAGGAACAAAAATCTTTTTCTCTGATTATCTGACTCATGTTTTACTGTCATAACATGGTGACAGTTTAAACAATTTAGTAGAAAGGATATTGTTTATAAAAGTTACCTATTCCAACTTTACCTTGACCCATGGCAGATGCCTACATGCCTGAACAATTTGGGTACAAAATGATTACAGAGGTCCAAAGTAGCAAAGCGTTGAAATGGCCAGTAGCCATCACTGAAGCAGATACTGGTTTTGAACCAGCTGAACAATTAGGACTTTAAAGATCTCTGCCCTTTTTCATCCTTCAGATAACCTACGCGGTTTGCTCCGTGCTCTGCAGTGTAGTATTTTCTAATTGGCCTGAAGGGAAAAGTAAAGTTGTGCAGAGAACTAAATGAAAGTGAAGTGAGGAGTCTGAGAGAGATGGTGTGGGAAGGAGACCGGCTGTTCTGTTTTCTCCAGCAGTCCAAACTAGAGACATGTGGCTCCCCAGACAAGCTGTCCAGAGTGGGAGAGCTTGCTGGACTCATTACAGGCAGGGCCAAGACGGGATAGCTTGACAGAACACCGTTGGATCATACGGAGAGTTGGAACGGTCGGAGCCGAATTGTTGTTAGCCCTCCTGCGTATGTACGCGCACTCGCCGCCGCGTTTGTTAGGAGCCACGTGCGCGCAGACAACTGTCCTTCCCCTCTCTCTCCGTCTGTGCCACCCCTGGCTGCCCCCTCCCCCGCCACCCTCAGTGGACACGCAGAAACACACACACACACGTACACATGCGTAGCATCTCGGCCTGGCCATAAGGATCGCTTAAATGTTTTCAGTTGTACTGGACAGCTGAGAGATGAAGCGGCCAACCACAGGCTTCCATTGGTTGGACACCTCATCCAGAATCTGACTCATAGAAATGACTGGACATGGACCAGCGAGCCAGTAGTCGCAGCCAGTTTATAATAGTTTTATCAGTTCAACTTTTTTTCCTCATCTTCATCCATTTTGACAGTCCATCCATCTTTCTGCAATCCAGTTTGGAGTCGAGGAAAGTTCCTCCTTTCCAAATGATAACTTCAGTCAGCATGATCTGTCTAATAACGGCGTGTCTTTTATTGATTTGTCATCGTTTGTGGCATGTTTTATTTCAGCTTACTCTCAGTTAACTTCTCTCTCTCTCTCTCTCTCTCTCTGTATGTGTGTGTGTGTGTTTTTTGTCTTGCCTCTTAGAATATTTTCTTCTCCCTCTTCCTTATGCCTGGCTCCAGCCCTCCCGTCCAACCCCTCTCACGGCACTCTGTTTATAAGTAGCAAGTGATCCAGAGAATATGCTTTGTTCCTGAAAGAACAGGAGAAGGAAACGAGAGAGCAGGAGAGAGTGGGTGTATTTGTGAAAAACAGAGAGAAGAGAGGAGAGGTGTGATTCTGTAGCCTTAGTGATACACTGGCACCCACCACTGTGTTTTTCCTTTTCTTTTTTCTTTCTTTTTTTTTGGTGTCTCTCTGTCCCTGTGTGGCGGTTCGTTCTAGTCTCCAACGCACCGTCGCACACATGCACATGCACACACACACACCAACATGCGCATCCTCACCAGCACCAGAGGTACCGGCGGGGCTGGCGCTCGCATGGTTCCTTCGGCGGAGCAGGTGTTTTCCTGCGACATGTTAACGAGCACGGCCTGCTGTCATTTTTGCTTTAAATGGATGTCACAAATAGAACACCGACACTCTGATTGTTCTCTTCTCCTGGAGAATGAACTGAAACAAGGTGATCAGACCGGGACACAACCCCCTTTAGTCTAATGCCCTAAAGAAAACCCAGTTCAGTTAGTTGCCTTTAAAAGTCACTAAATTGGTGTGTAATTTAATCTCAGCGTAAATAAAGCTGTTCTGTGAGGGCCTTAGAGGTCCTACGCTTAACAAGACGTCACTTTGCAGCAGTCACACTTGGTGGCAGCTGCATCAGTATCATGCTGTCGTTATAGGGAAGAGCTGAATGGCGAATGGAGTAAAACATAGAGCTAGTCTGATAAAAGGTTTACCTTTCAGCATAGACACAATGCTAAACATTCAGTCGGAACTACAGAAAAATCCTTTCTGAGCTAGAAAGGCCTAGACAAAATCAAAACTTAAATCCAACTGAGTTTTTGTTTTTTGAACTAACTCTTCCCAAACTACAGCTATTTTGCTAAAAACAGTGGGCTAAAATTTTTAGCATCTAAATGTGCAAAGCTGGTACATAAATACACCCAGAAATAGGCCTGGATGTTAAACTGTCCCAGTAATTATTGCACTGAAACATAACATTATTGTTTGAGACCATATTCAAGTAATATATGAATAATGGCATAATAATATAAGGTTAATAAACTCTAAGAATATGTAGCACTGGAGCTGGAAGATATTTTAAACATCCACAGTAGAACACAACCAAAAAACAATAAATTAGACCTCACACAATCGAAACCATGAATAAAATGGATTATGAGGTCTCTGTAAACAAAATATGTATTCATAGGGTGTTGAATACAAATGCACCCAACACTTTTTAGACTCTTACTTACAAAAATGTTAAAAATTATGTGTGATTTTTCTTCTACTTAACAATTATGCACTATTTTGTGTTGGTCTCTCAATCAGGATCCCAATAAAATGAAACCAATTGTGTGATTGTAACCTGACAAAAATCAAAAACCTGTTGCTGGGTGTGAATACGTCTGTGCTAACCTATTCTGTGCACAGAATAACTTCTTTTTGTTCTCATTGTTCTCAAAAAAACCCTGTGTGAATCCACATCTCTGCGCAGTTTAACCCATATGTGGCTCCATGTTCCCCGTGTGGCGTGGTGTTTGACTCTCGTGTAATCCTCTTGTGAGTCGGCTAAAAAGGCCGCGGTCACTCACCGATGCCAACGCGCAGTCGGATAATACTTTTGTCGGCAGATGCGCAGCAGATGTTCGTCGTTCCCGCTGACGTCTAAGAAGAATAACTCCTCCATGTGTAATCCTGTTTGGTCTCATGTCACATCATCTCATCCTGTGTCGCTGCAGCTGACCAGTGGTGTGTGTGTATTAGTGTGTGTGGTGGAAGGGTCATCACCTCAACACCTGCCCATGTATCAGCCAGATGATGTTTCTGGCATGGTTACGTTGAGTGTTGCGCTGGTAAACATGTTTTTTCCCTTTTTATTTATTTTTTTCCATTTTTTACACGATAATCCGATCTGAATCTGGCAGGCGTTGTGGGAGCTGTAGAGATTCTGTGTCTGTGTGTGTGTGTGTATTTGTGTGTATAAATACTACAGTGTGTAAAAGTGTGTGTCATATAATGAGAACAGATGACAGTTGAGCGGCCCTTAACCGTCCAGGGAATAAAGTCAATATTTAAATCATCCGGATCATTATTTTTATTGTTAATCCGACTTTCCGTACATTATACTGATTAACTGTCACAACCCTGAGAAACATCACAATCCCTGATGATCTTCTATCCACAGCGTTTGCACCAAGTATCAAAATGTATGCTTATATTTCCCTCTCTGTGTGTTTGTGTCTCTGTCTAGGTGAATACATAAAGAACTGGCGGCCACGTTACTTCCTGCTGAAGACAGACGGCTCCTTCATCGGCTACAAAGAGAAACCTCAGGATGCAGACCTCCCTTATCCTCTAAATAACTTTTCAGTAGCAAGTATGTTACAGTGACATTTACACACTGCCACAGATTCTTTACTCTTGTTCTATCGGCAGCTTAGAATTAAGCTATTGAAATTTGATTCCCAATTTTGGAAACTTTGCCCAGTCAATTCCCGATTTAGACTCAATATAACATCTAGTTAGTGCATTTAAAGTTCAGTTTTTTTTCCCTTCCTGTGCTCTGTTGTCATTAAGTTTAAGAGACATGAGCCATTTTAAACATTTTACACTAGCAATTAGCGTGGGTTAGCATCAGTAAAGCTCAGTCTTTCTGTGTATTCTGTAGAGTTTGCAGCCATTCAAATTTTTGAAAAGATGGTTGATCAAGCTGAAAATATGCAGTGTTGCCATCTGAGTTTTCTGTACATATGAACTAAAAAACTTTGAAATGAGTGAAATTAATCAGAGTATGTGAGCCAACTAAACTTTCAATGCTCACTTATAAAATCAGAAAGGATTAATTATATACCATCTGTCTTAAAGGCATTGCCAGCACATGAATCTATTCCTTTTGTGCTGCTTTGGAGAATATAGACTATAGTTTAAATGTATGTTTCCATTGCATGAAGTTTACCTTGACTTGCAGTAATAATGACATCACAACCTGCTAATCAACCTGTTAAGTTTAGAGCAGAATTGGTGTAGCTGGTTTAGAAACTGTACCAGATTTCTATATCTCAAGGAAATTATAGCCCATATTTTACTGAACTGTTGCCATGTATCTTCATCTAGTTCCATCAAACAGAGCCTCGGTGTAATATTACATCCATCAATGCAGTCATTATCTCTGTTATCCATCTTCGCAGCGTGGTGTGTTACAGAATCCACTACATCCTCTAATTGGCTGTTCGCTGTGTGTCAACACCTGGTTTGCAGACTCCAGGACATTGTTGACATGTTTAATTTTCCAATTATTATCTTAATGCATAATGCATAATTTCCAGCATCACCTCCTTTTGTTACAGTAAATATTTTTCCATTTGGTATTGGATATTGGAGGTTTGTTTGTCTTTATAATTAAAGTTTTTGCATTTGCAAAAAATGGATTTGTCAACATTTGTAGTTGAGATTTAATTCTGTGCAGTTTGAAAACATCTGATGCAAAGCAGAAATGTCTGTATGAAAGGTTTGCTGTTCACCACATGTGCTTCTTGAGTCTGTACCCCCCAGAGAGATTGGACACTGACTAATGAAACTGGCCAATCAGGATGGAGACAAAGGTTATTGTGAACTATGAAGCCATTTGTCTCATTCTCTTTTTGTACAAAGAAGTCTGATCAACTAATAATCAATGGTCAATACACTTATTTCAGTGTTTCTACAATACTTTTGCTAATGAAAGTGTTGGATTATGAAATCTTGGTTTGGGGAATTGTTCTATACCGATGATTTACATCTAGTGAAACTTATGTACTTTAATAATGGAGATATCTTTATTTCCTGGAGGCTGTGAACACAATCTCTCCTCCTATTGGCTGGGCAGAGGTAGGCATATACCAATTTGTCATGAACAATTTATTTTAAGAATTTAAATTTATTGTCACAAAAAAAAAACCCCAAAACAAAACAAAACTGACCATAGGATCAAAAATGTCATTTTTGTTCCACAAGAGTATCAATAAATATGAGTTTAGAAATACAAACCACACCTTTCTTTAAGTTACATCCCAAAGAAGCATAATTAGGATGAAAATGTTTTATAAGAGTAATATTTTTTTAGTGTTATGAATGCCTTGCAATGCTGTCACTGTCCTTCAAAACTATTTAATGCCTAAAAATAAGTAATACATCGTTTTTTAACCAATATCTAAATTATCATAATAGTACCATAAAATATTACGATAGAATATTGAAGTCCATAACGCCCATTCCTAGTTGGAGGTCTAATAATTCTGCAAACTTCACACAATTTAATCAAAAATGAAGATGTTTTGCAAACCCAAAATACACTAATTTAAACGTTAAACCAAAAACAAAAATGTTGCATTAGTTCTGCAAATGTTAATTCTTCAGATTTTGGTTTTCAAACATTATAAAGCTGCGTTTATAAATAAGCTTGAAACAAAATTCGAAAAGCTGGTCAAACGAAGCAGATGCTAAAATATTTTCAGCTTAAAATCCTTCCCAGGTTTTCATTCGCAGAGATTACATTTTAGTTATTGTATATTTTTTAAATATGCCACTTATCACCCAACATTCATCTCCTGATACTTAAATAAATGCTTATCATTTAGCAGTTTAATCTGTGACATGATTATGTTTTTTCCGTTTTGTGAACGTAATCAGACATCCACTAAGCTGATGCAGATGTCATTTTCTATGTATAATGTAATTCAGCTTGGGTCCTTTAGGTATGAAAAAACACACACATGCACACACACACACACACACACACACACAAAAACGCTCTCAATTACTGTCTTTAAATTAATCAAAATGAAACCAAAACAGGCTTAGTCCGATGAAATCAGATGGCTTCGGGAAAGCTCCGTGTGATTAATCTGCGGAGTTGAGTCGAGAATGATACAGAAAAGCCGGCTGCTTGAGTGCCAAAACAGAAAACACGATAAATGACGGATTACAAACTGATACCTCAGAGAAAGCGAGAAAGAAAAGGTACGCCGAAGGAGGAGGGAAGGACGCGACTCTGAAAAGGAGGACAAGTATGGAGAATGAGGGATGGGCGAGGATCAGAGGTGGCAGTGGAGGGAAAAAGAGAGGAAGAGTAAATCTTGGAGGAGTGAGGATGGAGATGGAGGAATGAAAGGAGAGGCCTTTTATGGATGAGGTGTGTTGGAGAGGGAAGGAGGAGTGCTGAACAGACAGGGAGGAGGAGGTGAACACCGGGTTGGAGATGGAGGGAAGAAGAGGGGAAAAAAAGAGGAAAAAGAGTTTGCGCGGAGGACAAGCCAGGCCATACATCCGGCCCCGGCTGCTTGGCACAGCACCGGCTCCGCCACATCTGTTGCCCAAAGCTGGGAAGCCAGGTGGCGTGTGTGTTCCCTGTGTGTATTTGTTTACTTGTGTGCAGACGTGTGTGTCTATGCGCGGTCGTGTGTGCGAACAACAGAAGTGGTCAGATGGAACAGAGATGGTACAGGCCTGTTCCCTGCAGAGGGACTCATACATACAAGCTTGACACACACGCGCGCACACACCCACCCGCTAAACTGCTACACAGACCTCACTGTCGCCTGCTGTGGCAAACAACCCAATTTCAGCTAACATTCAAAGTTCATTTTACGTAGAGTTGCCTGTGTGTGTCCATGTGAGGACATTAGGTTTTGTTTTGGCACCGACAATAGTGTGACCTTGTTTACTGGCAGCTCAGCAGGCCCTGTTCACGAGTCAGGTAGCAACCGCTTTGTTTGACTTTACATTGAGGCGCCGCTGCGTGGATGACCTGGGTGGTTTTGCCATTAACCTTCCTGTCTATATTAAGACTGAGGCTTGCTGAGCTGGGCCATGCTTAAAACACAGGCCTCCTTCGTGGTCTGGGAAACGTCTGAAATTTGATCGATCAGATTGTCAGGTCTGGGCAAAAATGGGAAAACGAAAGCAGGAATAAGTATTTGTATTGTAACTTTCCTTCTTCATCAACTTCCTATCTTCCTTTCTTGTTTTTTTATTCTTCAGTTTTATCTTGTCTTAACTTCCTCATCTACTTTTATTCCACATTTCTTTCCTTCCTGTTGCTCTTCATTCCTCAATCTCTTGTGTCAATCTCTCTTCCTTCCTCTTTTCTAATTCTTTCTCCCCTACTTTTGCCAATCATTACTATTGTCCTTCCTGCTTTTAGTGTTATGCTTGTCTTTCTCTTTCAATCAGTCATTTTCTCCTTCCTTCTTTCGTATCTTGTGTCTTACATTCCTCGCCGTCTTTCTTGAATCTTTCAAGTTTCATATGTAAAGCACACTCTCGACAGTGTATGTTTTTCTTAAAGTGCTGAACAAAAACAGGAGAAGAACTGGGAACTCTTGACGTTTTCAGTCTGCAAATGCCTTCAAAGGAAAAAATAAATAAAAGACAAGGGGGAAAAAGTATATACAAATCCTGTAAATAAAGTGATGGAAGATGTGATGGACAGACAGGCGAGATAAAGGAAGCAGAGGCTCTGATCGGACGGACAGAAAGTCAAAATGGAGAGCAGAGGAGAGGGGAAACGAGGCGAGGAAATGAAGGCTGAGCCGTGTAGAACAAGCGGGGCAGATGAGAGGACAGAAGACGGATCGTAATGCTGTTTTACACCACTTCATGTCCTTCATAAGCACAGAGACTGCTGAGGGGACAATGAAGATGCATTCCTTCCCACAGCGAGCTCACAGCCCCATCTGGCTCTGTATGCCGACGTTTCTGTGTTTGTGTACCGTATTATGCTTCTGTGTAATAACGGCCTACTGGGCTGCCTGTTCTCATAGAAATGTGTCTCATCGGAGAGCCGCCAGATGCGTGTGCGACGCAACACATAAGATCCTTTGGCACAAGAAAGCAGCTTTTTTTAAGTTATCGGCTTTCGGAGTGATTTCCTATTTTTACACCAACAAATTAAAACACGAACTGTGTTCTCTTCATGACAACTTGTTGTTTCAGCGTAAGACTCCCAGTGAGTTTCCAGCTATATAGAGGCTGCAGGCAACATTAAAGCACTTTAAAAGTTATCATGCAGGGCTGACTGGAAAAAGGTATATTTATTTTGCATAAGAAATAAAAACCGAAATACATAAAAAAAAAAATAACTAACTTGACAATTTTAAGTCTACAATAATTGTTCAGAAAAGGTTTTATTTCTTTCAATTGTCTTCTTGAGATTTGAACGTATAAATTTTGCTTTGCTCTCTTCATTGTGTGTTTTGAGGATAAAATTCTTTCTCCAAACAATTCACCACTTCGGTTTTTATTCCAGAATGTCAGCTGATGAAGACAGAGAGGCCGAAGCCAAACACCTTCATCATCCGCTGCCTTCAGTGGACCACTGTCATTGAAAGGACCTTCCATGTGGATTCGCCTGATGAACGGTTGGTTCCTTAAAAGATTAAATCCTGAAATATCATAGTATATGCCTGCTCAGCCTCACTTTTAGCTGTGTTTTCTCAAAAAACACCAGTGTTGTTTTGACACTGATGAGGCTCCTACGGTCTAGCAGCAATTAGCAAACACCTAGTGTGACTTCGAGTGTGCAGGTCACTTCTGAGTGCATCGCTCCTAAGAATGTAAACGGCATAATGTGCAGAAGACGGAGCGTCAGAAAGAGCAGGAGCTTCTTAAAGAGACAGAGACCCAACTTCAAGGGGCCAAACTGTGAAGTCAGATTTTCTTTGTCATGTTAGATATATATTGCATTTTGAAGGTAATGTAGTTACTTGATTATACTATAAAATGATATTATGTGTCTGTTTACATCTCAGGGCTGAAGTTTGGTAGCTTCACTAAAATGTATCTGCTAGAACATGTGCGGACCCATGTTCCAGCAGGTACATGTTTCCTGCTAGAACATGTTTTTTGAAAAGTTTGAGAAAGCCACTTTGAAGTTGAGCAGATTGAGTTCACAGGATTGCGATTTAATTAAACAAAAAGTAGAAAAGCAGCAAACAGTTCTTAACACAGATTGGTAAAAATAATTATGAAAAAAAAGCACTCTTAAAAATGAATATTTCTTTGGATAAACCATAGAACAAATATCGGGTGCAATATATTCAGCAGCATTAATAGGAGCAGAGGTATGTATATGAAGGGCTTCACTGTAGAGAGTTTGTGCTTTGTTGGTGTCTGAGAGAGACTGAGTGGAGAGGAGACCTTTCAAGTGGTGTTGGCATAAATTCTCCAGCTGCTCAGTTCCTTTCTGAGGAGCTGAGGTGTTTATCTCCAGAAAATGAACAGCTTTGCCCAGAAGACCACAGATGCTTCTGTGCACGCTTTGAGGTTGCGTGTATGTATATAAGTGTATGTGTGCGTGTGTGTGTTGCAGCTGTCCGTCCAAGTTTCTCCTCGTTATATGTGTTTTGTTGAAGTTTTGCCTCCGCATCATCAAATGGAGCTTTCAGAGTTAAAATAAATCGCATAACTTCCTATTAATTAGCTTATAAAGCGCACGTCTCTGGCAGCGAACACAGCTCCAGATGTGTTTGTGTTTTGCTGTCGACTCAGAGTGTTTGCACATATTTAGCACCAGTGAAGCAATAAAACTCAAAGCTTCTTGAAAAGAAGAAAAGAGTGTGTATTGTGCCACAACTGGGGGTGTGTGTGCGCGTGTGTTACTGTATGGGGCTGTTACTGTACCAGTGCTGGCAGGCCTCCAGCTACTACAGCCCCAGCCGTGCGGGGAGAGGGTGGCACGTGTTGGCGCGATGCCCGACTGTAGGCAGGCCCATTATCTCTCATTAGCAAAAGGGGAAAAAAAATGAGGAAAAGAGGCTCATTATACAAAAAAAAAAAAAACTAACCGAGAAAGAGCATTTATCTGCTGCCTGACCTTGAGAGAGTTCCCATTGCTTTTCACATATCCCGTTCGCGCAAGTACACACACACACACACATCATCACTCGTGTCACAAATTAACGCTCCGCTGTCGGGGATGGAGCATAACTTGAGTTTGCCCTTGTTTTTGAAGTGTCTAGGATACGCTTCGGAGTCTTTGCAGAAGAAAGGAATATAGATCTTAAAGCCACTGCGCTGCGTTTAGGTTTAGGCTACCAATCCTGTAGATACCTCAAAGGAACATATGGGTGCTTAACACAACACAAAAAGAAACAGAGGTGATCCCCGATGAGTCAGGCATGTTTCATTGATATTTTTCTCATCGGGACTTCAGTGCAGGTACATGTATTTGAAAATGTTCAGCGTCGCTCCTGCAGAGACCCAAGGATTTAGAAATGCTAGTATATGTGAACATCAGGGCTGGACGTGAAATCTTCAGAGCTAACAATGCATGAAGAACTTTGTACTCGGTTAATAAATTGGTACAAACTCATCAATGAAACTATCGTCTGCAAAGTTTAATTGTCCTGAATCCAACAATTGAAAAAACGCACAGAAAAACACTAAAGATCAAAATGCTAACCTCAATATTGACCTTCATCAACTCAGTAAAAACATAGTACATGATCGATGTTCCTGCTTTTAAAAACTGTTGACTTATTGTTTGTATTTAGTACGTTTAGTCAGTATGAATATAGTTTTATTGATTTATTTCTGTTTTCTGCTGTATGACATTTTGACGTTTTCTGAAAAGATCATTGTTAAAATTTGTTCTCAGTCAAATTGAATTGAAAAATAAAGGTAAAATTAGTCAATCTAATGACTAAATGCATTGACAAGTATTGTTCCTACAGTGTGAGGAAAAACACTTCTTCATTATTAGGACTGAATCGAT